GGCGTGGAGTAGCGCCCCGTCTCGATGGGCTCAGCGGGACGAGCCTGTGCTCCTGCACAGGAGAGGTCGGCTAACGTTGCTAAATTTGAAAGTGCAGTGTCGGAAGATATGGATGTCGCTCGATTAAATGATCTATGTAGACCAGTTGAACCGGCAGCGAATTTGCCATCCGTGCCGGTATTCCCCTTCAAGGCCGTTTTCCCGTACACTGTGCCTATTGCTGTTTTTAACTATCAGTTTCGGGCAAAGTCACACAAACGTGATCACGGCACTGTCCACAAGTAACGAGCACTGGAACACCGCGCAACAGAGCATACAGAGGGTTATTTACTCACTTGTTCATTTATCCGTAGAGATCTCGGCAGCGCGTCCTAACCTTTACGTTCTTGTGCGTCTCAGCCGAGTATCCGCCGCAACTCTGCTCGTAAAAACGCTCCGAAAACAACCGGCTGCCAACCCTCCCAACGCGGGGGAGGGGGGTACTCGCACGGCGCTACTCCACGACGGCAGACTCGACACCCGTTGGCGCCGCAGTCCTGTTCATACCCCCGGACAGGACTTTACAAAGTCCCGAGGTTCTTTGGTACCCGGGTAGGGGTAGACCATCCCTAGGATACATACACATCCCCTCCTAGGGTAAGACATGGACCGGGAGGAGGGGGTTACAATAGCTCCAAGAATGGTGCACCCCCTAGGCCGTGGCCTACAAAGGCCTAAGATAAAATGTTCAAACGAGCACAATTTTACTACAGACCCTACCATACTGAACATTCCGAAGTATCGGGGCAAGCTAGGAGAAGCGACAATGTCTCAAATTTGCATCTTCTGCTTTCATTATCCGCTCCTGCACGGCACCCTTTTTATTTTGGAAGGGTGGCAGCGGCGGCAGAGTGTTTCCCTCAGGGACAAGAAAAGGGCGTGTGAAACAAGGGGGTGGATTTCACACCAAGCTGACTGAGCCGGGCGGACTTCCGAACGGGCTGGGGCGGATGCGTGCGGTGACGTAACAAGGGCGGTGGCCGGCCGGGCCCAGTGTGTCTCCGAGGGTCCCATGCTGTCCTGTCTGTCCTATACGCGCACGGCCACCCGTACAAGGGCGAGGCGAAGAAGTCGAGGAGAAAGGGGAGGTGGAGAAAAATAATGGGGAA